TTACTTCCTGGGACGTTTATAGTTTAGATAATTATAAAAGAAAAAGTTTTCTGTTTTTGACAGTAAGGCAAATTATTCGTAAACCTACAAAACCACATTAAAAAAATCAACTGATTCTCGGGCAATATCCAATATATATTAATGGAGCAACTTCTGGCTTTGAACAAACAAGATATTGGAACTGGACTGACCAGCCCGAATATGATGCATTCTTCGATCACTTCCAGTTTTCCATAGAGTGGGAAATCCATGCTACATATAAGTTCTAAACGTCATTCTAATTCTTTCTAAATCACCGATGTCAATTATCACCAATTTTAAGACAAAGTCACTACTAGCTCGTAGAAAATGAAAAATATTAAACTAGTGCAAGAAGTTCACACATTCTTAGACCTTGAACAAATTTTTTATATGAAGGACTTGTGTATTGGAGAAAAGTTGAGTTAGAGATCCATGATCCATGTCCTTCCCTTTTCGGTCAGTTTTTACATGCATGAGCGAATTAAAATCCTTGAATGAAGATCAAGTGAACGACTTATATTTTATCTTGATAAATCAAACTTAAAATTAAACATACATATCGTATTTTAGTCATCTGATCTCAGTTCAATGGTATCAATTTGTTGAGTATGAAAATATGCGAAAAAAGTAACTACAAAACTGGATGTGAAAATGTACGTGAAAAATATATGACTACAACAAATGTGTTTCCTACCAATCTCAGGGGAAGATCACTTGACTTGAACATGCTAATCTGAATCTCCTAGCTCCTAGCTTAGTTAAAGTGAACCAAACTAGAGGAACAAGATCCAAATTCATATATCCTGCACTGTCTCTCCATTTAATTTGACTAGGCAAAGGTTCCTCCTTATATATATACATGCAACCTTTGTTTGATGCATTCTCCTATCCTTTCCGTATGATATGACCAATCCTCCATGATCCTTCGGTTAGCATATGGTGTCGCATCTCATGATGTGAAGTTTGTGCTTTATCAAACACTAGTGACAAACCATTAGGATTGTTTACATGAAATTATAAGTTCAAATCTGGTTCTGCATCACACACTTGTAATTCACAATACACGGAGAAATGACCAAGATTTGTTACTAAATTTAGGTTCATCAGTTTATCCTCCTGACTTTGTATCACAATTGAATTTTCATAAATTGATTCAGTAGTCCATCAAGACTCTCAAAATTCGCATAAGAACAAAATGGGAATAAAAGCGAAACACAAGCCTTTCACTACGATACAAACGGAACTAAAGGCAAAGAAACAACACTTAATTATTTGAGCTGTGTTCTAGTGATGTGTAGAAAGCCTATAATCACGTGTCTTAAATTTGACTTTACTTAAGCACCGAGCAACTTCTTAGAGGATCTTAATTTCCTAATTTGTATCCATAGTTTATGCATAAAAACAAGAAGAAAAAAAATCAATGATACACATGGAATATACTAGTTCGGATCTTGAGCAGAAGAAAATAGCTTTCGAAATTTTCTATAGGGAGTCACACTCAATAGGACGGTTTTGCAAACACTATTTGCTATTCCTCACTAGCTTCGGTATTCTCTTTTGGGGTGAGTAAAAAATCGTTTTCATTATTCAAAATAAGGGAAAAAGGAAAATGACGTTGGGCAACTAGAGGAGCAAAGACCAAAGAGAATGAGGGTTTGTGATTTGGTGATGGACTCAAGTCGGGGTCACTATGATTATCCAGTGATTTTAAACCACGTAGCTTATATTTATAAATGATGCATTGAAAAGGAAGGGCATAGAATGTCTGGAACAATGACAAAGCACATTTACAATTTCACTGACTTTATAAAAAGTGGTGGGAAAGAAAAGCAAGTATGGGCCAACAAATCCTGAAAACCTTGAAAGATGAAACTTATTGAGATTAGAAACAGCTGGCCACATAGTCCACGTGATTGTCGGCCTCAATGATCGGTGACATTCTGGAGTGTTTCTCATACCATTTCAAGATCACCTACATAAGCTAGAAGCTACGTGGACAATTAACAAGTTCATCATCCTCAATGCCAAGCCCATTGCAAGGAATGTTACCTAATGTTCATGAGATAATGAAGCTTAAACGACACTGAGACATGCACAAGTACAACATATTTTAATATTCCTCGCCTTTGACGTTTTTTCTACTTTGAAAAAAAAAAGCTCTATTAGTCAATATGGGCCGCGGAGCACTGGGAAAGAAAATCACTACCACAATCCACCATTGTGATGATTTGGGCCAGAAATGCAAATTGGACCTACCCTGACATGTTCCAGCTTTCTCATGTGAGCCCACTAAGTAGAATCTAGTTAAAGTGAAACTAATATAGTAAAAAACGCCCACCGTGGGGCTCGAACCCACGACCACAAGGTTAAGAGCCTTGCGCTCTACCGACTGAGCTAGACGGGCAACTTGATTAAGTTTGTTTCCAGTAAATACAAAGCTTTTTCATTTGTCATTGAGTGCCATATAGTACAATACAGAAACTCAGAAGGGAAGACATGAATCCCCTCATTTAGCTTCAAAGGACATTTTTATTCCTGAAAAGAGACTACCCAATTACCTTCTATCTTTGGCATCATAAAATCTCTTTGAAGACAAATGACTAAGCAGAAAACCTGATCAAAGGGTGATTAGTTTTAAGTTTTAACTTTTAACAAACTCATTCAACTACTAGATCCAACAGCGTTGGCCAATGATTACCATCTAGACATTTTTATTTGAAATTAAAGATTATATTTCGGGTCTAGACTTTGGCTAGCTAGGTTTTTAAAACATATGTCCGAGATAAAAGTAGGTACATTATTAGCTTCTTTAGATATTAACTTCTTGTGGGACTAAACACTATATATAGACGAGATCAAATCTCTGATCTAAATGATGTGGAGAAAGAATATAAAAAGGCGGCCACAGTTTGCAAATCTGAGAGGGTAAACTCACCGTGGGGGTGTAACTAGTTAAAATCTATGAAAATAGCTTATAATTTTTTATTTATTTCAATTAAGCTTCCTAATAAAATTTGTAAAAATATTTTTTTTAACTTAGTTTGATAAAAATCGTAGTCAAATTTATGATATAAATTCGAATATTGTAAGAATTCATTAAATAGGTTCTTTATTAAATTGTTTATCTCAACAAGACAACTTTATTCATGGTATTTAACTCAAACGTCAAGTTGTATACTTTCGTCTTCTTAGCTGCCTCATCCTTCTTCTTTTTTTTGGTGTGGATAATATAGTCTTAAAGGAAAAATTGAATACTACATTCATTATAAACTGAACAAGTTTACTGTTTTGTTTGAATTTCTCACTCCGGATGCATATTGAACGGGAATCCTCTCAAAAACATTGACATTCACCCTTGGTAGAGAGGAAGGAATTCAAGCGAATGGAAAGGAATATGAAAAAATTATTTAAATAAGAAATAAATAGGAAATAGAATAAAATAAAATAAAATTTGTAGTTGATATTGATATAGTAAAATTAGGTAAAAAAGAAAGAAAGAAATTAGTATTTTAAAATGATATGTTATATATGAAAATAAATTATCTAATTTTAATTTATATTAATTATAATAATTGTTATTATTTTAATTATATTTTAAAAATAAATAAATAATAATATATAAATGATTATCATATTCGATTATGTATACATAATCAAAGACCAAGTGTTTTGTCAAATATAATTAAATTGAGTTAGTGACAATCAAACATGATTTTTATCACTTTTTTTAATTCTATGCAAAATTTTCTTATTTTTTAAAGTAAGTATTGCTCATATAGGAGTCATCATAATTTCATTTAAATCCACTCTTTTTTCCTTTATCAGTCACGACTGCCTTTTTATAGTTTCACTCAAATCCACTCTCCTCCATAGCTCCTCTTCCACTCAAATTCACATCTGCTAAGTATTGTGATTAATAGCGTGTTTGGATTCATGTTTATTGAAGTTAACATGCGTCCAAAACGTGAAAATCAGAAACTTTTATATGTTACTTCCGCGTCAAATTCAGCAAGACGTGGTTTTCTACGCGAAATCAATTAACACGCTATAAGTAAAGGGTCAACGTTAAGAAATGTGATTCCAAGCACGATATCGAACCAGTTTCAATACCAAATCAACTCTGTCAAAAGATATTATCACACAACCCAACCCCACTGAATTGTAGCCATTAGCTAGCGACGGTACAGACTTGCTCTTACGTTTATGGGTAGCATGTGATATGGGTAAAACTTACTTAAAATATTTCAAATTTACTATTTTGTCCTCCAATTTCTTTTTATTACATTAATTCTTCTAGAATTATAATCTGCTAAGACTAATCCTTTTTCATAAATATATTAGTGATAGTGTTTTATGTAAAAAGAAATACACATAACAAATGAAAAAAAATAATTCCTCTAAAAAATTTCAAATTCGCTGAGTCTTCCAAGTTTTTTGTTTTAAATTAATTCTTGTAAAAGTAGAAAAGGTTAAGATATGTTCTTAATTTTATCTTGTTTATGTTGGTCAATAGATATAACTAAATCATCTTTTGTTTTGTTCACTATTACGTGATTGTATATTTGTGAGTTATCATCATGGTGAAATTCATTTATTAGTGGAGCATGTTTTTTATTATTTTTTGATAAAACATATTTTTGATTATGTATATTATTCATGAAAATCTTATTTTTGAAAAAACATTCAAATGATCTACATATATCTATTGTCTGATCTTTCAACAACAAAAAAATTAAGCAAAACCAAATTTAATTTGTTCTAATACAAAAAAATTAAAGATCAAAAGCATATTTTAAAAAATAAATTAGAGGAATTAAAAAAAAAATTGTCACATAGAACATCATCGCTAACAAAGTTACAAAAAAAAGTGTTTTAATTTTAGATAGACTAATTTAATAAATAAAAAAATAGAAGATCAAAAATGAATTTAAAAATGTTTAGAAATACTAAAAGTAACTTTTAGCGTGTGGATATGCATGTTCATATAACCGAACTTCCATAATTTATTATTACTTTGGAATCACATTCATGCAGAGGAAGCCTATATTTCATATTTCTGAATTTACAACTCATTGGGGAAGGAAAATTCTGACAGACATGAACCAAAACCAAATGTTTGTATTCCAGAACATGACAATAGAAGAAACTCCCCCCGCTCCCCCGCTCTTCTAACACAATCACAAATTGTAAAGTTCGGTTCTACTAATCTCCACCCTGGAGCTAACCAAAGACATCTATTTTACCACCAGCAGATATATTATATATGTCTACAATAATTTTGGATGCTTCAGCCTCAGTCAGATTTTAAATCCTGAGTCTTGTATGATTCTCCTTTCTGCTCAACACCATTTGCCAAATCTTCCTTCAACTGAATCAATTCGCGAACCAGCAACAGAGGTGGAAGAAAAAAAAAGTTAATCATTGCATATGTATAGCCAAATAAATTAAGCCCAGAACAAAAAGAATTGTCAACAGAATCTGAGCAAACTAAAATGTTCTTTAAGTAACTAAGCCACAATTAGCAATCACATTCAACCTCGAAGTTTTATAAATTTACCTTCTGAAGTATTTTCTTCTGATACCTATAACCCTGTGACAAACAAAGAAGAATTATAGCAAATTAATATGGCATGTGGAAAGACTATGCAGATATTTATGTAGCAAAATAACTCCAGAATGATGATATAACCTTGTCAGTTCCATAGATGTAATCACAGTATGTGAAAACTGAAGCAAAATTGCTTTGGCTTTGTCTTCCAACATAATGATGGTAATCATGATACTCAGCACCACCATAAAACGGAATATATTTTGTGATACTCCAGGGAAAGTCATACCTGACACATTACAAGGTAGGCAATACAATATAAGGCCATGTGCCAAAATTAAAAAGCAGGAACTAAAGAATGATGAGTAAACTTCTCGTAAAGGGGAGAAAGGAGAGGAGGAAATATGCTGGTGTTTATCAATGGGAAAGAAAGAGTGGCCACTGGTAAATTCCTACTAGCAAAATCAACAAATAGTAGGAAATTCAAGTTGGAGGAAACACCGAAACACTACAAGGATATTCCCATCTCAGCAAAACTAACCACTGTCTTGATATAATCGTGACCTTCTATAAACAACCTTCAAAGAAATCAGTTTAACTCAGTTTTGCATTAACCTGTACTCTTTCTCTATATTGTTGAGGCAGCAAAACACCAGAAAAAATTATTTCTTGGAGTTGTTGACAACATGTGTAATTCAGCAAAGATTAGCAAACATTTGTCCCAGACAAATTACATTGTTGAGACAGCAAACACCAGAAAGATCAATTTCTCAGCATAGTTAAGAACATTACATGTACTAACAAAAACTAGCAAAGGTTTGTCCAAGACAAATTTCAATTCAATTTCTTGTTGCCAGATTGTTCACAAGCTACAACATACAAAATGTTCCCTACAACAGTAACCTTCAAGAAAATTTTGCTTCCCTGGTAAACTACAGAGGTCCTGCAAGTTCAGAGGCAAGTTTCTTCTTCAGCACTGAACTCACAACCAAACGCACTAGTTTCACATCATAAAACGATTACCAACAGAAAATATAATGCTCCCCAACCTCCTCCTTTGTTGAAATCAGAAACTTGCCAATAAATCACCATGTTTAAGCCATATTATCATTAATTATTATCACAAGATAGTGCATTTCAAAATTAGTACAGAAAACTACATAAGCTTAAAAAGTTATACATTTCACTTCCACTAATGGCTCGAATGGTAAATCAATGAGAACAAAAAAAGAGCAGTCCTTGTGCAACACAGGAACATGGAACAGGATTCAATACACGCACACATTTACCCAGTCACTGTATCTGTAACGGTTGGGTTCTGATTTTAAATGCGCGTTAAGGACATAAGTGAATGCAGAGAACCAAGATCTCACCTAAATGTAGCTCTGCTCTCCACAGTCCACACTACCTGTGTAGATCCTTATTGAATGTCTTTTGGGGACATCCAGCTAAAATGCAGCATACATTAATGTGGTAAACATGGACACAACAGAACTAAGAGTAAACAAAGTAAACACAACACATTGAAAAAGTAAAATCCCGCATACATTGAGCGGAATTAGTCTCTGGGGGACCAAACCAAACAAAAAAAAAACACATTGAAAAAACAATACAAAAATCATCCTCTAATCCTTAGTCAGTCTACATGAGCATTATCTACAAGATTTCAATTGTTTGCCAAACATTTAATTGAATCTCAAGAAAATTGAATTAGAGAAAAAAAAAATTTGTGGAGGATTAGCAGTAGAATAAAGGAATGAAAGTTTAAAAAAAAAAAAAAAGGTGATAAGGAAATGCATGCTAGGACCCATGGGGTGGGCATGAAAGAAAAAGCAAGGCACTATTGGAGATCGAAAGTAGATTTGGGCGAGTGAGTGAGAAAGCGTTACCCGCTGTGAGTGTCAATGGCCTCAATCTGGCGCAGGGCAATCCAGAGCCAAAAGGTAATCATGTGGCCAGGAACGATGGCAGGGCCGAGAAAGGAGGGTATCCCGAGGATCAAGATCTCGGCCCAGTGCGCATAGGGCGCAGCGAATCCAATGGGAGCAGCGTACTCATGGTGAATGCGATGAATCTTGTCGTAACCCCACTGGTTGTGCAGGAAGCGGTGGATCCAGTAATTGGTGTAATCCTCCACCAGAAAGTACACCAGCAGCTGCGAAAAGATCTCCCACCCCGACGGCAATGGCAACCCCGCCCTAATCCCAATCAACTGAAATCAAAGCAACAAAAGGGAGGTAAGAGGTTAGTTAATTAAATCACAGAACGTGACGGTGACGGTGAGGAACCTGAATGGAAGGGTATGAGATGAGCTGGAGAGGACCGACGACGAAGAAGAACATGCGCATGACGTCTTTGTAGCATCTGAAAATCTCGTCGAAGGACAAGCGAACCTTGGGCTGGATCTTGTAGGGGTTAAGGAATGAGAGGCGCTTGAGTTCAAGGAAGACGAGAGGGACAGGGACGAGGGAGAAGATGAGGAAGAGGAAGAGGATGTTGTGACAGTAGAGGAAGTAATCGGACTTGGTGGCGGAGTAGTTGAACCAGAGAGTCTCGGCGAAGGTGAGGTTGCGGGCGAGCGCCGCCTGGGCCTCCGGGATAGAGCCGTACGGGATCATTGTCACCGGAACCCTAGGATTACCGGCGGCGGAGGGGTTTGATATCTAGCGAAAGGGGGGGACAGGCGGTTGGATGCTGCGCTGGATGTTTGTCTGTTGCGAGCAAATATTTGCGGGAATTTTCAAAATGCACAGCACACCATAACCACTCACCCTTATTTATAGACTCTCCCTCTGCTTTTCACTCTCCCTGTCTTTTTTTGGAACTCAATAGTCAATACCCTTGTTTTGTGGCAAGACGGGATCAGAGATGCATGCATTAATGTCCATGTGTGTGATGATACAGTCATGCAATACACGATATGATGATGATGTTGATGTTGATGTTGATGTTGATGCTCATGCTCATTCTGCTAAAAAACGCTCATTTTCACCATTCTGTTTTTTTACCTTTTTCATCTCATACAACGTGTATCCACGCTACATTGCCAAAAAAGCGCTCATTTTTCTATACATCCAACAACGGGTTTAAAATTACCGATAGCTAATTTATCCAGATAAATAGAAATATTTAAGGTAATTATTGTTTATTAATAACGTCCTGCATTTAAATTTTATATTAAATAATTTTATATTAAATGTCAATTTTATAAATTTAATTTTTAGATTGAAAGTTTATATCATTTTATATATTATATTAAATTTTGTTAAAATTGAATAACAACTTGAAGGTAATCAAAGTATTCATATTTTATTATATTTTAAAATATATATTACATCAATTTTATTTCATAAGAATGAAGTATCAAATCATCTTAGATTAATATAAAATTTTGTAATATAATTTAAGAGTAAAGGACTTTCAATTTAACGGTTGAATTTATAAAATTCACATTTAATATAAAATTATTGAGTGATGCAATATTTAGTAAAAGTTACACCGGTGTCGTTTAAACTTTCTTCTTATTTTATATTTTAATATGTTTTTTAATAATTTTTTAACTACCACAATTAAAATTAAGGTTGTCAAAACAAGTGATTTCGCTTGTTTAACTTAAGTCACCTCAACCCACTTTTTAAGTGAGTTGATCTAACCCGACCCACTTGCTTAAATTTTTAAAATTGTCCAGTCTAGTCTAGTCTATCACGGGTTGGTGAATTAAATGTGTCGACTTATCAACCTCTCTAATTTTTTTTGTTAAAAAATTAATTCAAAATAAACTTCAATCCAAAATAACTTTCGATCTAAAAATAAAAATTGTCAAATTAAGCACCATGCACATAATGTAACGCCTATTTTAATAATAATTATATATATTTTTAAAATAATATTTTCGCAATTATATCATTAACAATATTTTTGTTTCTTTATAATGAAAATAAAGATAAAGAAAAAGAATATTTTGTGAATTTAATACATGACATATCGTTCTAAAATATTTACAATAACGTACTATTTTACACATTATTTCTTTCTTCCCTTTCTATTACAATATTTACATTAATAGTGGAAAGAAAAATACAATTGAAATAATATGGTTGGCAAATAAAATTATAATAGATCCATCAAATAGCCTCCATATTCTAATTTCTTCCAAGTAGGACAACAGTAACAACAACTGCAAAATGATCTGGAATCTCAAGTAGATCCATCTATTTTATAATATATTTAATTTTAAAAACAAAGAAAAGAGAGGAGTGAGAACAATATTCAATAAATACAATAATTCAAAAGAATATACAAAATTATTTATAATCAATATTAAACATATATATATAAATATATATACAGATCATATATTAGATTTTCATGATACAATAAAATTTGAATTATACTTGTAGTGACTAGTCAGGATAAATGAGCATCATCATAATATCAACCAATAAAATGATATTTCACCTTAACCAACAATAGGATATTTCACCTTCATTTCTTACTCATTTAAATCCCCAAGGTCAAACCTCCAGCTACAAATAATTCAAACTTTATCTTCTATGGCCATAGAACAATATTTATCTTCATAAATACGTAAAGAAATAACAACAAGACGAGTCCAAGATATCACAACTATATCATAGTTGATTATAAATATATTTACAATAAATATATTTACGTAAAAATAATATATTAAGAGTACCAATGATATAAATAAAAATGACAATCATTATAAAATAATTAAACAATATAAAATATGAACACCTTAATAATTAATATGGATAGAAATAATCATAGGTTAAGTAAATAAATGAGGTTAGGGACACCCCACTAGATAAAATACATAAAAATAACATAAATAAATAAACATAGTAGTATATAAAATTTTAAAAAGATAAGGTTCTCCTCCCCTTACCTGGATAAGCAGGAACTAAAACTTGAGCAGAACCTCTTCCTCTAGATCCCCTCTTTCTTTCCCTCTCTCTTTCTTTCTCTCTCTCTCTCCCTTTCTCTAAGATTTTCACCTTCTCACTCAGTTATAAATTTTTCACCCCCTGCCTCCTATTTATAGGCATTCTGGTGTACCCGGAACGGCCTGTACTGAATCCGGAGCGGCCCGTTCCGGAGCCTTCGAATATACGTAAAATTTTCAACTGGAACGGCCCGTTCCAAAATTAGAACGACCCGTTTTCAAAAAGTAGAACGGCCCGTTCTAAAATTAGAACGGCCCGTTCTGGGGTTCCATTTTACACTAATTGACCATAAGTTGAACGGCCCGTTTCCAACTTCACTTTCTAAGCATATTTAGAATTCCGGAACGGCCCGTTTCCCTTTGGGAACGGCCCGTTCTCGAATAATAAAAATGGGTCTTTTTACTAAATTGGAACGACCCGTTCCACATTTGGAACCAGCTCGTTCTGGTCCTTCAAAAATAGCTTCCTTTCATTGTTTGGAACGGCCCGTTCCACTTTTGGAACAGCCCGTTCCGGACTAAAAAATAATTTTATAAAAATTTCATAAATAATTTAAATTATTACAAATCTTAAAAAAAAAACTTTATAAAACCCTTTAATTAACTAAAATAACTATAAAAATAATCTTCATAAGTATAAAAAAAATATAATAATTGATATTGTAATAGTAGAAAATTCGGGGTGTTACACATTGTAACGACCCGGCTGGTCACTACACACGGAACAACACACTAGAAACACCGCACAGAAGAGAACAAATGTATACATATAGAGTCTAGAATATACATATACATGATCCAGTCTGAACAAAGTTAAAGTGTACAAAAGAAATTACAATTAAATGCTACTATCACAAGTAGCTACACAGCAAAATAATCACAAAAGCAATCAGCTCCACGGGTCCACCGGAGACTTACCACCAGACACCCACCTATCCCTGCTCTGCTCCCATACATAGTATGATCATTGCAGTCCAACATCATGGAGACAACAAAAGGGTAAGCTAGTGTAATTAAAATTCAACATACAAATATATAGCAATATAAATAACAACAGATACAGTTATCAGCACACTTGTACAACTTATACCACTCAACAATATCAGCACCGCAATGCAGCAGTATCAGCACTGCTTAGCAGCAACAACAACACCACTCAAGTGGCTATAACGGCACCGCAAAGCGGCAAAAACAGCACCGCCTTAGCGGTTAGAACAGCACCACATATGTGGCTAATAACAACACTGACTTAGCGGCTATAATCTCACGCAGCTCAGCATAGCACAACACAACATAACACAGCACAGCGATTCCACACAATTATTATTTTCCACAATTCAGCCCAACAGTCTATAATTCCGCTATATATACTATAGAATTTTACATATTAATCCATCGATTCCAGCCTAACAATACACCTCTAATACAACTAAACGTATTTATCTCAACTTTATCCCCTAGTCCTCACAGCATATTCATCAAATACAACTTGGTTCAGCATATAACGTCATTGATTAACAATCTCTGTACAATTTAACAGCCTACATCATATATGTCATCATCTCCTTTCGCGCCCGGCGCACTCGAGGTCGCGCCCAGCGCGGCTTAACCCGAGAGCACCAGGGCCAGCGCGTCCAGCGCAGGAGAACTCGGGCCCAGCGAGACTCATCCCGAGAGCACCAAGGCTCTCCCGCGCCCGGCGCAATTCCAAATTGCGCCCAGCGCCTGCCTGGCAGAGACTCAAGGAATCTCGTGCGCTCAGCGGGGGAAAAGGCAGAGACCTACCAGGGTCTCGTGCCCGGCGCAATTCGTATTGCGCCCGGCGTGCTCTTGGCAGAGACTCCCAAAGAGCCTCCGCGCCCAGCGAGTCCAAACATGCGCCTAACGCGACACCAAGTATCCCAAAACATGTTACTCTTGATATCGCGCCCAGCACAGATCGAGTCACACCCGGCGCGGGCCAACCAGAGACTCCCATTTGCAAGCTCGCCTAGCGCACACAGCCTTGCGCCCAGCGGGCTTGCCTAAACAAAGTCTCCTGGTGGTCGCGCGCCCGGCGCGAAGAACAGCGCCCAGCGCGAACTCATCAGTAACTCTCCCCAAGTTCGAAAATTGCTCAAAACCTGCAAATCTTAACAGAAAAATCACATGCAAACGGTTCATAGTGTCACATTTTCACCAAGGAGTTCGAAAGTATCAGCTTTTTGTGCATGCAACAACAATTCAAAGCAAATCCCAAACTTTGACTTAAAACCACAAAACCCCCAAAAACCCCAATTTTTCAGCAAGCTCAGCCATACACAGTAAAACCCCAACAGCCAAAAGGGTTCATAAACCCGTTTTCCAGCCAAAACGCAGCAAAATACTAAATTCCCTTACCTCGGTGAAGAAATCCGAGCTTCCGGGAAGAGACGATTGAGGAACGGAGAAGAGAGAAGAGTCGGAGAAGAAGAGGAACCCCCAAATGTTCAGCTAGCAACCTTAATCACTCCACACCACCACCTTGAATCCAAGAAACCAAAGTGAAATCAGCCAAAATGAGAATGGAGGGAGAAAAGAGAGTGAAAGGGAGAGTTAGAGTGAGAGTTGGGAGGGGGAGTGTGGTCAGCTAAGGGTAAGGTCTCACACACATAACATTAAAGTTAATTAAAAAAATATACACAACTTTAAATAATAAAAACAAAAATAAAAAAAAATTGTTATTAGAGTAATTGTTCATCAATATTAATTTTCATTGAATGCTTGAGTGGATAAATATAAAGAAATTTCATGTTATTTTATATCAATTTTACCTTCATTTAAAAAAAAATATATATACATTGTTAAAATAATATGCATATAAGAATAAATTGTTAAGATGGTCGTTAATGAATTTGGTTGATAGGGGTGTAAAT